GCTTTCTCCTTCTCTCTCTCGAGGCTATCCTAGAACTCAGGTTCTAGCTGTGTTATAATATTTCTCGGAAAACTTAGGTGGCCTACAAATTTTTCAGTCTTTTCAACACAGCCCACAACCCCACATGAAGTCACATAAGGAAATTTGCAGATCTGCCTGATTCCACTATCATGGCTGTTTGGGACAGCATCTAGTAAGTTCCACTCAACACTTCTCTCAAATGTGAGTTCACCCAAATGAAAGCCTTTTGCTTTCACAGTTGGCCTTTCTGCCTGAATGGCTCTGACTTTGTGCACCCAGACATAACTCCAGCACACCATTTCATGACCATGGAGATGGCCAGAATGTGTGTTCCTCAGGGCCCAGCCTATTTTTCAGTGTGACTCTATTTACCCCATTAAGATCTAGTGGTTTGAATGCCTCTTTAAACCTACCACTGTTTTACAAGGAAACCCTAAACTGCCCTCTGCTTCCAGAAATGTTAATGGGTGCAGAGCACTGGCCTTTACCTAGGTCTTCTGGACAAGCCAGCGGCCTGCACTCCCTTCCGTGCAGCTGTGTGGAAAGTCCAGTTGTGTTGGTGACCTGCTCGTCACAGAAAGTAACTTCTGACCTGTGTGGTTGGTCCGGATCCCTTGGCAGTGAGTCATGTCATCTCACCTTTCACATTCAACCTAAGAAATGTTTTAAATTCAACTGGATAATGAGAAGGGCCAAATGCTTGCTAAGGTCAAAGTTATTGTACAAACACCCCCTAATCCAGTTCAACTCAGACTCAGTCTGGAGATAAGCATGATGGTAGACTACGTGTGCCTAATCCATGTCTTCTGAGTTTCCTTGTTAGCTTATTTTGACCAAAACTAAAATAAATAAATAAATAAATAAATAAATAAATAAATACCAGCAATAGTATAAGGATAAGAAAAGATCATATGCCAAATTCCATGGGGAATTTCAACTAATTGAAATATTGGTGGAGTGAGTTGGGAAAGATGTTCTTTTAAAACATGCCATGTGCATTAAACTCTGAAGCAAAGAAAACAGTCCCCAAAAAGTAGGCAAAAATTTGCTTCAGCACTCCCCTCCCCCATGCCCATACTCTCTTCAGCATTCCTTGACCATAAAAATTTATAGATCTCAAGTAAATATATATTGAGTTTATTCTGAAACCATGCACTTCCCTCCACCATATCCCTACCAGATTCTACCTTGATACATCCATTCAGAGACCAAAGTGTCCAATACTAAAATCAGTAAATCAACACAAAAGAAAATTAAGAAACATAAGAAACAGGCATAGTGCAACCAAAGCTTGGAAGAGTCTTGAGAAAAGTTAGGATGGTGGGAGAAACGTGTGCTGGCCAGTGCACTGGTCACCCACATATTCAGTTATTTATTTTAAAAGGCACAGGATACACAAGAGTAAACAAGAGATCTTGTCCTCACAATAGAGAGACAAAATAAAAAGGAAACAAAAGTGATATCTTTTAATATCAAGTCTATTCTATTCATGAGTTTTTTAGTGAAAGATATTACTCTATGTGAGCATATTTATCTTCTGCATTTTGAACAGAGAGAAGGAAAAGTTTGAATGCAAGGAGTAGACCTAAAAATCTATCAAAATATATTGTGGTCCTGAGTTTTTATATCAAGAGTTAGGATTTCAAGAGATAAGGTGCATAACACCCTGTTTTTCTCCTAATCTATCACATTTGTGAGCACAGGTATCCTAGGGTACCTGTCACACATCCAGGGACTCATTTTGCTTTTTTAGTTTTGTGATTCCCAGTTGTCTTTGTTTCTGGGGAAGGACTGAGTGTGTAGTACTCGACTTTAACCAGTAGAGGGAGGTGAAACAAAGGAAACCCAAAGTATGCAGGCTCCACTAGCAAGCAATTGGGATACAGGAGAAGGAAAAGCAGTTTGGTTTCATGAAGACATGCCTTAAGCCAAGCCCTAGCACAGCCCTGCAAGGTCTGCCTTGCTGATCAATATCTATTACCAGGAACCTCTCATCTCCCAACATATTAATCCTGGGCAAAGGCAAGGTGTGAGGAGTTCACTGTAGACATTAATCCGTGCATTGTTGGTTTTGCATATTTTTATGAGCTTACCAATCTGTCATCTCTCCCTGGAGAAAGAGTGAAAGCGTGGCTTTGTCCATGTTCTATTCACCCTCTTGCTCTTTTGCAGGAGTTGATTACTAAAAACGATGCTTTTTGTTCTCTAGAAACCTACTCAATCTTTTGTTTGGGACATTTGAGCCACACAATTGCTGGTGAGTGTGATGGGGAGAGAGGATGGTTTTGGATTTCTGTGTCTGTGTGGGTGTCACAGGGCAGTGGCTTCACTAAAATAGTCTGAGGGGGCAGGTTGGAGTTTCCACAGAAATAGAGAACAAGTGTTGGATCAACATCCCCACTGAGGTGACAGGGCCAGAGGAGGGAAGGTCTGTGTGGGCCATGGCAAGCAATGAGGTCTGTGATCTTGGGAGCTTGTGTGAAAGACATGCCCAGGCCCTCGTAGTAGAGGGGAGTACTGGGAGGGGGTCCTGACTCAGAGCTGTGGGTCTGGCAGCTGCGGGATGGCAGAAAGAGCACACCACTCCTTCTCCAAACCTAGCAAGCCCACAGGTTCTTATGTACCGAAAAAAGGGGGGAAACCTGGCATTAGACTTTGGCTAAACTTGGTGCCTGAATTTCAAAACTGGATTCTGTTTTATTTAAATCCAACCAGAGGAGTAAGGGTAAGAAAGGAAAAATTTAGCCTTACCCTTAATGTCATAGCTTATGAATAAAACTTAAAATTTACATATTTTAAAAAATTATAAAAATCATTGTGAAATAAACCCTGAGCATCATGAAGCACTTCAATGCAATAAACATCCTTATCTCATACAATCCTTTGCCCATAAGGAAATGATTATCTTCATTTTACACAGGATAAAGCTGAAGCTATGGGTCTTAGTAAATTGTTCAAAGTAACAGAGGATGTAAGTAACAAAGCCCGTCTTTTTCTCTGTCCTGTCTGTGGGTCACTAAACTGTGCGCAGAGATCTCAAACTTCTTCAAAGTCAGAGGCGGTTGCCTTCTTCATGTCCAAATCGAGAGACTTATTGAAAACTTGGATTTCAATGCCTGTCCTCCACACAGTGATCCGTGTTTTCCCATCTTGTGAACTTAGGAGGTAGGACTCTCAGGAAGGGGGGTGGGACCACAAAATTATCACTTGTCTCCTTAAAATCAGAGCCAATTCCTAAGTTCCTGGACAATCTCACTTGGCCATATAATTTTCGACAGAACTGTGTTTGTCGTTTGTTTTTTAGTCTCACAATAACCACATAAGCTGAAAGGGAGGAAAAGAATCGAAACCATAATACACCTATGGAAGTAAGCAAGGGCAGGCACTCAGATACGTACTGAAATGGGATCATTCTGAGACTCTTAGTAGGATCCCTGCTCTAGGAACATGATATTGAGAACATCTGAAGGGCTGCTTAAGAATACAGATGCTCAGGTCCCCTCCCTGGACATGTGGGGCAGGCAGGTCTGAGGCAGGGCCTGGGAATCTAGATTTTTAAAACCCAGAGGATCTTGTTTTCACATTGGAGCAACACTGGCATGCTTTCCTGGTGAGCATGTTCCACATGTAATTGTCACAAGCCGTGCCAGAAGCCTGCTTGTTCAGGGAACCAGCCGCTCTGACCCTCTGTCTTCACAGCTGGGGAAACTGAGAACAGAAAGCTGAGGCAAGCCACTTCACTTCCATGGGAGTACTTCAAGTCTTTCCAATTGACCGGGAATATGTACATACCGCATTTGTGGATCTTTGTTTTGCTTTCATAATTTTTTGTTTATTTGTTTAAATTAAGCATCTGGGCTCTAAGTCAGGATGAAAATATGACCAAGAGTTTTAAATTAAAGAAGATTTGAAGCAAACGCAGCAAAGCCAGGGAAATGCTTGACAACTGTACACCCTAGCAGAAACCTTACAACTTCTGATTTTCTTTTTCAACGTTTTCCTGTGTTCACATGCACCCTTCAACCCACCGTGGGAGGAAGGCCTCCTGTGCCCCTTTTCCAGATGTGGAGGGTGGGTACAGAGGTCCAATGACCTGCCCTCGCCAGAGAGCAGATGAAGGGCAGAGCCTCTCTCTTTCTTCCCATTACTCCAAGCATTGGCGGGAACACCAGTTGGACGTCAATATCTAGGAGGGACGACTTGAAGGGAAAAGTTATGTAAAACATAATGACTCTGTAATGAAAAATCCTCAGACTTTCTCTGCTGTCACATTGGCCTGTCATTCCAGCAGTGAGTGCATGCACTGGGTTTGGCATGTCTGTAACCACACTTGCTTCTGTTTCTGTGTCTGTAACTCATTGGTTTGCTGCACGTTTTTCTGTGGGAGCTCGACAGGAGATCTTGGGCCCACAAGCAGTTTGCAGGCACTTGTTTTTTCCAACACTAGTTGGATGATCAGGTTGCCCGGGGGGAGGGAGGAGGGGAAGGGAGGGATGGAAAGCTCAGAAACCAATTCAGTTCACTGCCAAACCAACACAAGCCCTCGCATCTCCAGGCATCTGCCGGTGGTTACCAGTGGGATTGGAACAATTTGGGAGTTGCCTGGATTGGGCTGGCGAGGCTGTGGGTGAGGTGTGGGAAGGGCAGGAGTCCCCCGGGTCCCAACTCCAGCTGCACCGGCTGAGCATGGCCAAGTGTGCAGCTGTATTTGAAAGCTTCTGTAAAGACCCCGGGACGCCAGCACAAACAGCTCTTTCAACACTCCGCCTAGAAATGCTAACTGGGGACTGCAGCTGCATCATCTGCCTCGTCTCGGATTAACAAAATACTCCTTTTTGCTCCAACCGAGTTTGCTTCCAATTGATTGAGTCTCTCTTTGTGGCGGACACAATGCTGGGCCCCAGGCATTGAGGGTGAAGACAGCAGGGTCTCTGCCCTGAGACCCTGGAATCTCAGCGCATGCCTGTGGGATCGGGCTGCTTTCTCTTTAAAGTGTCCATCAGACCGACAGTGGCTCTCCCCGCTGTCTGCCTGGGAAGCCACCCACAGCCCGAGTTCCCACGGGCATTGAGCTCAGCACCCAAAGATTCCGTGGCCATGATCTCGTGCCCAGAGTTACAGGGAGCCAGAGAAATAAATGACCTTATTAAAAAAAGAAAGCAAACAAATAAATATTCTCCCATCACCAGTGCTCTCTTGTTATTGTTACAATCTCACAATAATCACAGAAATTACTCTTCGATGTTGCCTTGGCCTTCTGAGTAATTTGTTTTGCATCCTCTCAGGAATCTGAGGGGTGCCATGGAAACAATGGTGCGGGAGTTAGAAGACCCCAAATAAGCTTTTCTGTATCTGATCAGAGAGTCCTGGACCGGTCACACTGGCCTCCATGCTATTCCTTGAGCAAGTCAATCACACAGCCACCTTCCTGCATTCATCCTTGTTCCCCCCCCCCCCTTCTGGAATGTTCTTTCCCCAAGTATCTGCATGGGTAGCTAAGAAACGAAGGAAGGAAGGAAGGAAGGAAGGAAGGAAGGAAGGAAGGAAGGAAGGAAGGAAGGAAGGGAGGAAGGAAAGCAGGAAGATGGAAGGAAACAGGGAGGGAAGAAAATTTCCAAAGATGAGCAAAGGCATTCCACTTTGGTTAAAGCCTGTTGTGATAGAAAGAACTTGGGCTATGAGACTAGACACTCAAGGCATTGTTTTAGGCTCACACTGTTCATTAAATAAATTGGCTTCATCTCTAATGCCACACAATCTCTAGCAAATCCTTACACTTTCTCTTGGGTCTTTTGTTCACTGTTTTATTTCTGCATCCATTTATACTATAAATTCCTTTTTCCTAATCTCATTGTCATCATATTGACCTCCCTCAAATCCTCTCATTTTGGAGCAGACCCTGCCCACCTCCGCACCCCATACTGTGGGTGTCCTGCTGCCCTCTCTGGGCTCTACTTGGCTTTCCTGTTGAAACCTGAGCACTCCAGGCTGTTGGAGTCTAGATGTTTCTCCCTCTTCAACTGAGTCTAAGAGGAGCATTGCTGTGTCCTCAGGACATTGGACAAAATCTCAGCCAAGGGGAGGGCTCTGTAAATAGGCACTGGCTTTAATAGTTGTATCCCTAATGTCTTTGAGAACACAGAGGAGGCCTACCTAATTCATTTTGGGAAGGCAAGGTCAGAGAGGAGAAGGAGACTGACTTCATGGGTTTTTTTTGTTTGTTTGTTTTTTTAATCAATAGATGTTTATTAAAGGAATTTCCATCTTAAATCATTGAGTAGATATCGTTCAGGCACATGGGAACTGGAGAGGAGAAGGTCAGAAGTTGATCCAGCACAGTGAGTGAGTGGTCTCCCATCCTCTCTGACATTATCTTCACGTAGTCCAGGGTCTCCCTGAAGACACTGGCCATGGGGGTGGAGGGGTGGGGGTGGAGCCTGAGTGGGTGTAGGCAGGTGAGCAAGAACAATGGCCCCTGCCTCCCGCATTTCTTCATTACTGCCACCAGAGGGCGCCCTGCGCCCATTTATCAGATCCATTCCTGCCTTCTCCCCATACCCTCCTCACATCTGCTACTAACAACAGATCACCTTAATGGGGAGGCTTCTGCTTTATGACTTCATTTGTGTCAAATCGCAAAATCCAAAAGCCATCTTCTCTGAGTGACTGGTAGCATATAAACAACACTAGAATAATATTAACCACATTTAAAATAATTAATTACTAGTTTTGTTTAGATCTTAGATTATACCAGGCACTGTGCTTAGGTTCTTTCTCTATGGGCGATCATTTGGAACCTTCACAAAAGCTCCATGACATGGATATTTTTGTTATTCTCATTTCCAAGATGGATAAAGTGAGGCATAAGAGGTTCAGTGTTTTGTCAAAGTTTCACCCAGATTCTGAGTGGTGGGGTGGATTAGAGAGGTAGCCATTTTTACCCCAGCCCTCCAATTGCTGCATCGGGGAACAGCAGGATTTGTCTGGGGGCCACAGGCAAGTGGGGTTTCCTTAGGAATGAAGGAAGGATGGACTGGAGAGTGAAGATACTGTATAAGACACTCACTAAGCTATTCACATGCTCAACTTTGTGGAAGCACAATACAGAAAAGGCCGTGGTGAGTTGAGGCTAGAAGAGAAGCAGAAATGGTCTAGGATGAAGAGGGACATTGTATTTAAAAGGAGGTGTGTCATAGAATAACTTCTTTTATTTTATTTTTTTTTGTCTCTGTATCCATTTAGGACACTTGTGTTCTAGATTGTGAACAGTTTGTATATCTATCAGTTCTGCTGCATTATTTTAAATGATTTGGTATGGTTGCTTCCTATAGTTAATTTCCACCCTTATCCACTTAAGTCTGTGTCTAATGCCTGTTTTAAAATCCCAGAATGCATGTTCCAGTAATTTTGCGTCCCACAGATGGTTGGCCTTCCCTTTGGGTGGCTGCACCATTCAACTTGGGAGCTATTTCAGCCTGTGAGCTCAGGACCAAGGAGAGGACCAGCTACTTTGGCCGATAAAGTGTGGTGGGGACAGAAAGAAGGTCAAACCATAGAGAGGTGTGCTCCAGCAGCATCCAGAGCAGGGCCAAACTGCTGAGGCCCACTGCTGGGTATGGGGGAGTCTGTGGGGCCATCCCACTGAGATTTCACTTTCAACAGATAAGACCAGGCAGTATCTGGATGCTGATGTTTTCCTAGTTTGTAATCCATCATTCCAAGGGCTTGAGGAAGATGGAGAAGAGTCACTGGCTGGGGAGGTGGAGCGTACTGCCTGTGAGTTCAGTAACTTCTCCTCGGACTCTGCCCCTTTCTAGTTTGTGAGACTGGACTTCAGTTAGGGACCAACTGCACCATTTTGACAAGACCCTAAGTTTTCTATCCTATATAATAAAAGGCTAATATGCAAATGAATGGTGGATTGACCAGTCACTATGATACACACTGACCATGGGGGGGGGGGGGGGCAAACACTCAATGCAGGAGCTGCCCCCTGGTGGTCAGTGTGCTCCCACAGAGGGAGCATGGCTCAGCCAGAAGTCAGGCTCACTGCTGGTGAGCACAGTGGCAGTGGTGGGAGCTTCTCCTGCCTCTGTGGCGATGCTAAGGATGTCCAACTGATGGCTTAGTGAACTTAAGCCATCTTCCCAGGGACCCCAGACCTTGAGAAGGTTCAGGCTGAGGGATTCCCTCCAAAAGTGCACAAATTTCATGCACTGAGCCTCTAGTTTTAGATATCTGTCAAGTTCCTACTAAGCACTATGCAGTTTTGTAGCATGTGAGAAAAAAAGACTAAATGAAAAGCAACAACAAAACAAAGTCCCTCCTGAAATTTCCATTCAAACTGAATCAGAAGGTTGTATTTTACCTGGCAACTTGAAGCGTGGGTGAAGAGACAGATAATGAAAAACAAACAAACAAACGAACAAAAACCCTAATAAGACAAAAGACATGGTCCTACGTACTATTAAGAAGAATAAAGCCTTTTTGTTTAGAGAAAGGGAAAGAAAGACATCTTCCTGTTACTGGTGTAAATACTAGCCTCACCAGGTCGGGCCAGATCACCCCTGCTTCAAAGCAGGCTATTACATCATGGGAAGAGGGCGTGTGTTCTGAAATCAGAGGCTGGCGAAAGTTGCTAACGGAGAAGTGATTTCATTTTTTGCTGGAAAATATTTTTACAATTACATGTTTGATTTTGTCTAGGAGATTTGAAAGCCTAAAATTGCAATGATGTGAATGAAGTAAACCTAAGGAGGTGGCTGCACTGTTCTCCCTTAGCATTCGCCCAACTTGGACAGCCATGTTTTTTTTTCTTTTGTGTTTTCATTTGCTATTAGGATCCATCAACAGGGTCTGGGTCCCACAAATAGAATCATTCTCTGCTCTCTCCTGAGAAGACGTCATAAAAACCAGAACTGTTCATTAAGGGCCTGAAGCCACTGAGCACTGAATAATGAAGGAGCCTCCCAGGACTGCATAACGAAGGAGCCACCTGGTACTGAATAATGGAGTTTTCTCTGCTGTACCGGGCTCTCGGGAGAAGCTTTCACAGAGTAGAGAGGACCTCCAGATAATTGCCATTCATTGTTCTCACTATGCGTGGTGCCTTGTGGCCACATGTGAGGGGTCTCCCATCACTATTACAACTGTCACAGGGACTGCTACAAATTTATTGCTGCCTCAATAATTACATTAGTTACCCTGTGTAAGCAGCAGGGAACTTCGAAAAGCACATATTTGGAATTTTAAAAATAAGATCATTCTGCCCTGCTCAAGTGGCCAGTTGGAGTGTCGTCTTAAATACCAAAAGGTTGTTCGATTTCCAGTCAGGGCACATAGGGAGACAACCAATAGATGTTTCTCTCAGAACAATGTTTTTTTCTCTCTCTCTGAAATCAATGAAAAAAAAAATGTATCCTTGGGTGAGGATTTAAAAATAAAATAGGATAATTCCCATGCAATTGAATATTTGATTTAAAAAGCCATTATCTTTTTACATTTGGGATTTTCTGAACAGGTTTAAAAAAGTAATAACTTCAGTAATAATGTCTCAGTTAGTCTAGTAAAAGGACTTCTCAGGTAATTTTTTTTGAATAGGATTTAGAATTGTCAATTTCACACATGATTTAGCACTAAAGATAATTTTTTAAAACCTCAAGAAACTCTAACAGATTTTTATATTCTGAGATTGTGGTGTAGAAATGCATGCAAAGATTAAAAAAAAAAAAAAAGCAAAAACTGTTCTTGGCTTTCTCTCTCTTTCCTTTCATGTAGTATCACGTGACCAAAGATAATTCAGCCTATGTCTATTTTTCTTATATAATTTCTGAGGCATACAGAGTATTTTTCTTTCACACGACTAAAAAATACAGCAGCCATGATATCTATCTTCTCTCTTACTATCGATAACAGTTAGTAATAAGACAGTAATGAGCTTCATTTTGAGCTCCATTGCTGCCTAAGGTTATGTCCCTAAGACTTTCTTTTGT